CTTGGAATTGAGGTTCATCAGACCAGAGAATATTATTTCTCACAGTCTGAGGGTCCTTTAGTTGCTTTTTTGCAAATTCCAAGCGTTTTCATGTGTCTTCACTGAGGAGAGAATTGAGTCTTGCCACACCGCCATAAAGCCCACATCGGTGGAGTGTTGCAGTGGTGTTTGTCCTTCTGTAGGTTTTTCCCATCTCCACATATGATCATGGAGCTCAACTAGAGTGACAATCAGGTTCTTGGTCATCAGTCTAGACAAGGCCCTTCTCCATCAATTGCTCAGTTTGGCTGGGTTTATGAATACTTTCGCAAGGCAATGTATATATATTATACACACACACAAAGAAAAACAAGTAGATAGAATAGAAAAAAATAGAAAGCTGCTAGTTTTTTTTTTTATAAAAAAATAAGATAAATAGATAAAGTAGAATTAAAATAGAATAATTTAAAAATTATTTGCCATTGAGGAATGAAACCTTTTTTTAAAAGGGAAACAAAAGTTTATTTTTCTTGCCTCACCTGCAAATCAGTTTTTAAATCTAAAAACAAAAATTCAAAGGGAAATATAGATTTTTTTTATGAATGACTGCATGCAGTATCTTAATTTTGATACTGAAAATGTATCTTGTTTTAAGAATGAGCTATTTGTTGTTGTTATTATTATTATTATTATTATTATTATTATTATTATTATATTTTTTCAGTATTTATTTATTTATTTTTGCAGTGATATCATTAAAACATGATCTTATATTCAACATTTTGTCATCTACCCGTGGTTTGAAGAGCTCTCTCTCACTGGGCTTATAACATCAAATCATATATGAAAAGTTCATTTTTTGGGCCAATGTAGTTACAAGCAATGTGTTTAATATATTACTGTGTTATAACTGTATGCATTCTCTCTTTTTTTCTCCTTCTCAGAAATATAGATATCAGGATGAGGATACCACGTCGCCTCCAGAACACAGCTCTCCACACCTACCAGGGGATGTGCATCCTCCTGAGCTGGTGCAGGTGTCGGAGAAGAACATCTCCCAGATTGAGAATGTACACGGCTATGTTTCCCATTCACACATCTCTCCTATGAAGGTAAAATCTCCCAGCATTCCTCTGCCTCCATGACACATTTCTGTGCTGCATGGCATCTATTCTGTGTCTCTGTGCACTCTGTAAACATGCTTAAATGTTGTGTGTGATAGAATCTCCATCAGTGTCATGTTTACACATGAGCACAAACATACACACAAAATAAATTACATTCATACACACTACATTAAAGACAGACTTTAATGTAAAAACAGATGCATTCGTTAAAGTGTAGAACATCATAACTAGGATGAATGTTTCGGTTCAGTGTTTTGTAGGCTATGAAGTAGTTTCTGCCACTGGAATGTGAAAAGATCATTTTTCTAGCCTAAGCTGGTTTGCTGGTTTTAAAGGGTTTTTGGAAAGCTGAGAAGCCAGATTGCAAAACGGCCAAATCAACTGAACACTAGCTTGTCCAAGTTTGAAGACCAGGAAGACCAACTTAAAGGGATAGTTCACCCAAAAATGAAAATTACCCCATGTTTTACTCACCCTCAAGCCATCCTAGGTGTATATGACTTTCTTTATAAAAAAATGTCCTGCCTCTTCCAAGCTTTATAATGGCAGTGAATGGTGGTCGAGATTTTGAAGCCCAAAAAAGTGCATCCACCCATCATAAAAAGTGCTCCACACAGCTCTGGGTAATCTCTAACTTCCGCTAACTGTCATACTTGCTTTCATGAGAGCTCCAGTGAGAAGTGACGAATGCGGAAGTGCATAGGAGAGAGCAAAACAAAACACCAGTCACAAATTAGAAGTGCAAAACAAGGATTTGTAAAGAAAAATGCCAGAGGATTTCAATATAAGCCAAGAGGAGACTGGTTTTCCTTTGCAGGAAACAAAACTTGGTTCTTGAGAGAGCATATTCTCACTGGAGCTTACGCTACGCCTATGTCCTACGTCATCTGCTGGAACGCTACTCTCTCGTGAACACGCATATGACAGTTAGCGGAAGATTACGGTTTATAAAGTTTTAAATATGGATATTTGTCTTACACGAACACAGCAGTTCACTTCAGATGGCCTTTATTAGCCCCCTGGAGCCATGTGGAGTACTTTTTTTATGATGTATGGATGCACTTTTTTGGGCTTTAAAATCTCGACCACCATTCACTGCCTTTATAAAGCTTTGAAGAGCCAGGACGTTTTTTAATATAACTGATTTTATTAGTCTGAAAGAAGAAAGTCATATACACCTAGGATGGCTTGATGGTGAGCAAAACGTGGTAATTTTCATTTTTGGGTGAACTATCACTTTAAACCAGCTAAGACCAGCAAAACACCATATTTAGGCTGCTTTTTCTCAGACAGGTAGATGAAGTGAATTTCACCTGTAGTGCTGTTTGGAGGCTTTGAGCTCACAACAAAGTAATGTTATCTAGCTGCTATGTTGTATAAAGTTCAACATACCGTGTAATATATCATGTCCACTGCTGAGAAAAAAGGTCAGTAGCAACCCCTTGAAAATAATAGCTCTGTTCCAAATGCTAGTGCCTTGCTATCTACTTCCTTCATAAGAAACTGTTTCTAACCAAAAGGAACCTCATAAGACATTGGTTTGAACTTTTCTACTTTGACATTTCAAACGTTCAACTCACACATAACACAAATAGTGCTCATGAAGTGCATGTGAGATTAGACTCCCAGCTGATATAAAGTACAGTATGTGTTAGCACATGTTGCTAATGACACAATACTCTAAACACTAAGCACACACAAATGGAACATTTTAATTATAGGCTATATAACTACTTTTCGTATAAAGGCCTATGACGTGACTGATAGTTCATTGTAGAAGCTTAATGCAAGTCGAGTGCCAGACAAGAAGATCACAAGCGCAGACGCAAGAAAGAATTAGCAACATTATTTATTAAAAATTGGACTTCTACACAGTTAGCTTTGTTTATCTGCTCATCATTAATGCATTATAGCCAGTCCACAGAGTCCGCTCTGCTGTACAGTTTTCTGCAGTAGTTGGATGGAACTCTTAAAATATGGATGCACAGTGAAACATTTGTCAGGAAAAGATAATGTGCATAGCCTGATTATGTTTTCAGTATCTTGCGTATCTTGAATCGATCTCGATTCAATATCAATTCATGTGTATATACTGTAAATATAAGGGGATAAAAATCTTTTGTTGAATGCAGTTGAATGCCTTTTTAGCACCATTTTAAACTTGGTTTAAATTCAGTATTTGCTTACATTCATGGTGTGTAATTATGCAAGTATCAAAGGATGAAAAAGGGTAAAAACAAAGGGTAAAATGGATGTCAGTTATTAACTTTTTAAATTTCTCATTAAAAAATCTAGTGTTTAATCATGTCTAAATATTTATTCAAACGAAGAACTTAAAAATAAGTAAGCAGGTATGACCTGCAATATTCTAGATATATTTAGTAAAGAGCCATACAGGTACCTAGTGGGTAAACGCATTACAAATGAAAAAAAAAAAAAAATTCTGACCACAAAATGACTCTAATTAGCCTCTTTGCATTGGAATTTAAACCCCTTTTTTCTATTTTAACCTTACATACTACACTAATTGTAATATAAGTAATAGAAATATTAGAAAAAAATATAAGTCATTAATGGACCATAATTATTGCACAAATAGTATTTAGTACCAAAAGATCTCCTCAAAATATTAAATAAATATTATTGAACTAAAATATAGAACACTTATTTAACTGAAAAATAGTTAAGCTGTATGGTCACATTATAAGTAAGCAATACCGGAGGGTTAAGAAAACCATATTAATGCTGCCTCTCCATCACTCTCCAGAATAAATGATACTGTAAATGTCATTGACGTAATAATCAATGCATAATATGCTGAAATATTTACCAAAAATTGCTGCAAATACCTCTATAATGAAGCTGTCGTCTATCCTACTTAAACCCATTCAAATGTATTGTTAACGCCGGTTTGTTTGGAGAGCTCTGTGAACCACGTGACCACGCAGCGACGCCGGCGAGATCAAAACTTGTCGCAACTCTGTTTTTCAATGGCTCTGGCTTTAACTGAAGCGCTACATTTTACGATTTACACCACATTAAGTGCGCCAAAACGGTATTTATTGTTAGAATTTAGTATTAAAACGTACTAAATTTGAAAGCTGAGACTTTGTTTCATATCACAATCAGGGTTGCCAATTTGGCGTGAGGTATTTATTGTTTGAATTTAGTATTAAAACTTACAAAATTTAAAAGCGGAGACTTTGTTTCATATCACAACTGTTCAAAAACTTTTGACTGGTAGTGTATAAGTAACTTAAATTTTTCTCTTATTTCTAGCTTTAAATTGGCTCAGAGATCAGATACACTGCTGGACAATAACCAATAATAATAATTTGTTTATATACTACAAACACTTATCACATAAGGCAGAATAGTTTCTATACTGTAATAAATGCTATGCCAATTAGCACTGCATTGCTGTACTTTATTTATTACCTGGAGATGACTTGAAAAACACAAATAAACCATATATTGTCACAATTGTATGTTTAATGTCTTCATGTTTCCAAACGTTTCTGTTTTTCTGTGAAAACAACTGTTTTTTTTTCATACAGTGATAGCAAGATGCTTTTGTCCATATTAGGGATTTCCTGGTACGACTTTCTGTGTGAGAGTGCCTCCGGCTTCGAGTATGAATGAAACAGGCACTGCATGGAGTGTTTAGCACTCCGTGATGTTCATCTCGCCTTTATTCTGAGTCCGAATAAAACATCAGGTCATGCACAGACTACACTCTAAAAAATGCTGGGTTGTTTCAACCCAACTTTGGGTCAAATATGGACTAACCCAACTTTTGGGTTAAAATTTTAATGTAAAAATTTAACCCAACGGTTGGGTTAGTCCATATTTGACCCAAAGTTGGGTTGAAACAACCCAGCATTTTTTAGAGTGTATCCTGTCTCTTTAAATTTAAATCTATATTTATTCACACCGGCCCTTGAAAACCTCTATGCGAACACACTTGTCTGAAAAAGTGCGGAGGACGAATTTAAGTGATTTTAAAAGTGGGGTGGGGGGGACAGGACACTTCCCCCGTGTGATCTACGCCCACCTAGTGTTCTCACTCACTGGCGTCTTAAACGGCTCCAGTAAACTGCTATTATTCTTCATCGTTTGTAAAAGCCAGGTGAACATGGCGGTTTTAAAACCCATAATTCCTAGCACACCGTGAGCAGTGCTGATGTTTGAGGAGCTGTGCTGGGCTCAGGTCAGTGGAGCTCCCTGCATGCCGACAGAGCAGCGCCTGACAAGCCCTGCCTGTCACCTCCTATCAGCCTCAGCTGCGCAGAGCACGAGCTAGTGCTCTCTGTCCCCACACACACACGAAAACACACTCGCTCTGTCATCACTATGAGCCTGCATTCCTCCTAAATCAGTCCATGTGCTCTAGGCTGATGGTGCTTTCTGGCTGCTGGCCCAGCTGACGCGCGGCGCTCTCTTAACTCTCCCTCACAACAATATGAGCTCTGAGAACGCGTGCGTCGCTCTACAAACACGCATCTTTGCAATTATATTTCCTTTTCCAAAACAAATCATGCTTTGTTTACTAAAACAGAATTGGATAGATGATTGTGATTTGAAGATGATTAAAAACAATTTACTTATTAGACTGGCGATGGTCGGATGCTATATTTAATAGTGACTGCAGTAGCCTTACGCCACCTTGTGACCGTTGTTTGTAATGAAGGGATCATTAGCAGTTTAAGTTATTTTTTCAATGCTAAAATACTATCCTGGCTTATCTTAATATGCACAGCCAGGTGTATTTAGAGCAAGTTATAATTGTTTAAAAAATTGTAAAATGCTATACAAAATTAGAAATATTTTGTAGTTCTGTTTGGTGATGCTGGTGGCACAGTAAAATAATTTTTTATAAAGTTTATTTCCTTAAAGTTTACGTATTCATTTTTTGGATCCCATTTAAAACAGCATCACATTTTAGCGATGCTATTGTCTCTGTAGGACCGTTAAATGCAAGTTTAAATTTCTGACTGTCTGCTTTAATGGAGGATGTTAAATAATTTTGTCAGTGTTGATCAAATTTCCCATGAATCAGATCTCGCTTTACACACTCTCTGCCCTGATGATGACATGACTGCATGCTTTCTGCAGAACACGACACATGAACCACATGCCCCTGGTCAGGTTTCTATTTACAGACCGCTCTAGCAGTCAAGACACAGGGATGCTCCCATCCAGAGTAACGGATTGTTTAACCTTTCGCTTCAGTGGCACACAGCCTGAGTTCACCTCCTGAAGCAAATGCGCTTTGTTTAATGTCATATTGATTTAAAGTCATAGATATTTGAGATTCCTGCTTTTTGCCTGATTATGCGATTGTGTTATGATTCCCTGTGTGCTTGGCTGGAACTGTCGGCACAGATGGAGTTGACATCTTGTGGCTCCCCATGTCCCACAGTTGTAGCGTCCTGTGACTGGCCTGCATACTTGTAAAGGCCTAATGATATCTGTGCTGAAGCATAGCAAAGCTCTGCTGTGATATTTTTATCAGGATGAATAAATAGTGTGTTTGTCTCTTCACAACTAAGAGAAGTGGGTCACGGTATATTATATAATTTGGAAACACTGAGTGATAAATAGAGATTTTTTTTTTAAATAATTTTTGTCATTAATATGACTCTAGCATGAATTTACAGTTTTAAATTAGCTGTAAATATACACTACTGTTTAATAGTTTGTAGTTTGTAAGATTTTGTAATGTTTTTTTTTTGCTTACCAAGGCTGCATTTATTTGATCAAAAATACTGTAAAAACATAATATTGTGAAAATGTATTACAATATAACAGAACTGTTTCTTTTTAATTTAAATAAAAACTTTACATTTCATATTCTTATAGGATGCTGAAAACATGATTAGCCAAAATGTTTAATAAACAAACATGCATAGGTATGTATAATTGTGTGGGTTACAATTATTTGCTTTTCCACCATCGGGCCAAATTAGTTATGTTCTAGTTATGTTTCCACTTGAGCTTTACTACATGGGTAACTTTAAGGAACTTTCTGTGGAGTTGAGTGGGTTCAATTCTATGTGGACCTGCACATAATATACAGTACCTGTACATACAAAAACTGTCTATTGTAATATACCTGCACATACAACTGTCAATTTATATATTTTTATTCCTTATTTACTTGTTCTATTTTTTATTATCTGTGTTTTTTGTTCTGTCACTGTCATTCTGTTACACTGTGGAAGCTTCTGTCACGAAAACAAATTCCTCGTATGTGTAAACATACCTGGCAATAAAGCTCATTCTGATTCTGATTCTGATTCTATGAATAATTATGCTGATTAATCCAAATACATATAGGATTTACATAATTTTACTTTTGACTGTCCAAGATGCCAGTTATTTTCACTGATTAATATCAAGCATTTACTATAGAGAACACCTATTTCATGTTTTAAGATACACAGCTGACACATGTGATTACATTGGGACCCATCTTTCCAAGCATTCTCAGAATGACTCCATGCTATGGAAATGCCATCAATTTCCTGCTGTCTTCTGCCACACAACTTCAAGTGTGTGCTTTTTATGAGTGTCTGCAGTTCATCACGGTGATCCATGGTTTTAGAAAAGAGTGCTTTGTATGTGTGCTGCAGTATGATCGATCATCATTATGATATAATGGATGATTAGAGTTCAGTCATTAGGCTGAACTCACCTCACGCCGCCTGTTTCTCACTCGTTTTTTGCGTTTGCCAGCTGTTTGTTGCTTAGTGAAGTTGTGCTATGTATGTAGTAGCTGCATGGGTTTAAGTGAAGGGCACGATGCTTTCACACACTCTCATTTTAAAGCTGCTTGTGGGCACATTGTTTGATATATTTGTGTGTGTGTTTCTGTCAGAATGTGTTTGCTACTCATATTTATCACCTGAGCTGCGTGCCCCTCCTCAGGTAGAGTCTCTGGAGTGCGTTTTTGACGGGCCGTCTACATTAGGAGGTGAGGAGGTCCCAGCCCCCGCCTTTGCCACACTATACTCGCAAAGTGACACACTGATGCAGGTAACCCAGCGCGATTCTATGGTTTTTATTCACATGTTTTTCATTATGATTCACCAATGATAAAACGGATGGCACAAGATTATAATTTAGAGAAATGTGTTGCAGTTTGCTTTTTAAGCACTAGGCGGCAGAGATGTCACAGTGTTAGGTGGCATGTATGTAGATTTCTGTTGGATAACTTGCAGTTTGGATTATATAATTTATGTATTTTCTATTTAAATATTTTATATTTTCTGACAGCAGTTGGACTGTGTTAACCGATAGTTATTAAAGGGACAGTTACTCAACCTCAAGTTTTTCCAAATCTGAGTGAGTTTCTTTCTTCTGTTGAGCACACACAAAAAAAAGATATTTTGAAGAATGTTGGTAACCAAAAAGTTGATGGTAGCCATCGGCTTCCATAGTATGAAAGAAAAATATTAGGAAGTCAATGGGTACAATCAACAGTTACCAGCATCAGCAAAAATCAAG